ACCATGCCACTAGAACTCCTTGGCAAAAAACAAGGCTCTAGGAATTGATGGAACACTGATTGAGATGTTTCAACAAATGCATGCAACACTGGAAGTGCTCAGTCCTCTATGACAAGAAATTTGGCAGACAGCTACCTGGCCACTGACAGAAAGAAATTCATATCTGTGCCCATTCCAAAGTAAGGTGATGCAAGAGAATGTGGAAAGTATTGAACAATCTCATTCATATTAAAGTAAAATTTTGCCAAAGATAATTCAAAACTGGTTGCAGAGAACTACCAGAAATTCAAGCCTGATTCAGAAGAGGACATGGGAGGAAGGATATCATTGCTTATGTCAGGTTGATCTTGGCTGAAAGCAAAGAATACCAGAAAAATGTTTATCTGTGTTTTATTGACTATGCAAAGCATTCAACCATGTGGATCATAAAAAATAATGGATAACATTGGGAAGAATGAGAATTACAGAACACTTGTGCTCAAGTGGAACTTGTACACAGACAAAGGTAGTCATTCAAACAGAACAAAAAAAAAATGTATATATAAAGTTCAAAGAATTATAAAGACCCATATGTAACCATATCCAGCTTCAAAAATTATTAATTTATTATTAAAAAACAGAAAAAACAAAAAAAAACCTCACTGTCATTGAGTCTGTTCCAACTCATAGTGACCCCTCCATGGGTTTCCAAAGCAGTATCTCTATAGAAGTAGATTGCCCAATCTTCCTTCTGAGGAGTGGCTGGTGGGTTTGTACTGCCAGCCTTCTGGTTCTGGTTAGCTGTCAAATGCCTTTGGCACTAAGCCACCTTTTCAACTGTATCCTACTCTTCAAGTCCTAGATTATTTTGAAACAAATCCCAGATACCACATCATTTTATATGTAAGTATTTATCAACATCACATAAGGATCTTATTTAAATTATTGTTTAAACAATAAAATTAAAAGTTTACTTTGATTAGTAATCTTCTTGTCCTGCCATAGAATTCATATTTTGTTTCTCAAAACTGAAAAATATCTGGGACTTCCAAAGTAAATTAAATTTGTAATATACTTTCAAAGTATATCAAATTTGTGGGATTGTGTGAACTAACTCTGTTCCTATGATTAATCTGTTCTGTACACAGTGGCGCCTGGGTGCAGAAACGCCCCTCCTTTGGTCACCTAGTAACTTTTCACTGGTCAAAAACAAGCTGAATAAACTATTATGTTGTGGGAAAGCGCTTGGCTAGACGACTTGGATCATCTCCTAGATTTTAGGAGAAATAACTATAGCCAAGTTTGAATTTGTTAAAACTTTAGGTTCTGCTGGCAAGAGAAAAGCATATCAAGTTTGGAGCTTAAAATGGATACAGAAAACATGGGTTCAGGTAAACTAGGCCATATATTGAAGCAAATTTGGAGACAAAACCTGATGCTAACGCAGACCCTCCTAGGCAATGACTTTTATGAGGACGATGGTGGGGTCACTTGGCTAGCCACAGTGGTCTTTCTGGGTCAAGAACTCAGTGGAACCCTTCACCAACTGTTGGAGCACACCGCAGGGACCATGCACTCCACCTGCCAGCAGCTGAAGGTACTTCTTGACAAGGAGAATCAGTACTTCAGAAGACAAGGCAAGTGTTTCTCATATTTATTCTTTCTCTAAGAAATATTGATAGAATTGTCAGCCAGAGGGGTACTGTTGTTGTTGTTGTTGTTGTTGTTTGCCATCGAGTCAGCCCCGACTCATAGCGACCCCTCCTTGGGCTTCCGAGGCAGTATCACTACGGAAGTAGGATTGCCCAACCTTCCTTCCGAGGAGTGGCTGGTGGGTTTGAACTGCCAGTCTTCTAGTTAGCAGTCAAGTGTCTTAGTCACTATGCTACTAGAGCTCCTAGAGGAACATATATTGTTGTTGTTGTTATGTGCCGTCGAGTCAGACCTGACTCATAGCGACCCCTCCTTGGGTTTCTGAGGCATTATCACCACGGAAGTAGATCGCCCCATCTTCCTTCCGAGGAGTGGCTTGTGGGTAGAGGAACATATAGGGGAAATAAAATGAGACAAATGCACAATAATACAATTGACCTTGAGGCCACTGTCATCAGAGACATATGAATGAAGTACTTTAGGCCTTCAGAAGCAAAAGGGGATGTGTAATGATCCTCTATTTGATCAAAAGCAGGCAAGATCTCATTTTTAGGGTAGAAAATTTTATTAGAACATTTAAACTGAAGCTTAAGCAATGAATAGGATTTATACAGCTGAAAATTGAGAATCTTGAAAGAACATTCCAGGCAGAGGTATTATTAGCAGGAATCGAGACTTAGAAATAAAATAGGCAATAATAGACCCAGTTTAGGCAGAGAAAGCAGCTTTTCTAGACTGTAATAGAATCTTCTGTATATAGACTTATTTGAGAATGGACCCATTGATTTCAAAAACACTGCTAAGACTGGGGTAGTCTGGGGGCATGGAATTGGACTCAGCTTGCCATATATACACTATGTTGTTGTTGTTGTTGTTATGTGCCGTCGAGTTGGACCCGACTCATAGTGACCCCTCCTTGGGTTTCCAAGGCAGTATCACTACGGAAGTAGATTGC